TCCCCCCCACATAACAGTTTTACCAAGAAACTAAAAGAATGCTGAAGAAAAACTAAGAAAAGCCACATAAATATGTTTGAAACTAGATATTTGCTACACCACCACTGAGTTCAAACATCTTGAATGCATAACCATCACTGGCCTCCCACAAAAATTATCAAGTCACTACCATAGAGAAATGAACTCAGAATGAAACCAAATAAAGAACTTAATTTCCAAGGCTAAGCAAGTTGAAATCATTAGCAGAGCATGAATTCCCTATGCAAATCACCCTTTCAAACAAAGATAATCCGGGAAAAAAAAGATGAAGAGACGAAAGAAATTTTACCTCCTATTGGAATTGCCCACTTCTGGATCATCCTTCTACGACGCCGGAGTGTATCCTCCAAAGCTGTGAGAAGGGAATTTTCTGATAGCTGGCAAGATGAAGCGCTATGCCTTTCTGCCTTCCCATCGTTTTAAGGGATAGTGGGTTTGGGATTAAGATCGACAGTGGATCTGAGACGGCTACGAATCGGAGGATGAGAGCCAACCAGGAGTTGATGTTTCCGCCCATGTACGCAGCGGCTTTTCAACGGCCACAGCGTCGAGGAGGATGATGAAATATCTGAAGAGGGATTCTCGAATGACGGCGGATCAATTGGTTGAGCCGATGAAATGCCCATCGTGACAATTCAGGGGGTCTGGGAGAGAAGATTGAGACTTTGAAGAGATCTGATTCGGGAGAGGAGGCTGATTCGGTCTCCGATCGCCGCAGATTGGAGAGGGGAATTTTTTGACCGTTAGGGTAGGGCTTCTGAGGGGAGGATTTTTAATTTGATTAAATTGGGCTTGGGCGCATTGGACCGAGTTGAACTGCTCAACTTGAACCCAGACCCATTTCAACGTTGGGCCGGTCAGGTAGGCTCCCCTTTATAGTTATTTATTTATTAAAAGCAGGTGGGTTCTCCATGGAGACAAAAACGACGTCGTATAAAAATCTTTATGCACTTTTTTTTTTTTTGACAGTATCTTTATGCACTTTATCCATACCATTATCAATGGCAGCGTAATTCAAGAGAGCTTTTAATTGATTCAATTACAAATTGAGTTCTATCTGTTAAAGCCAGATCAATAGATCATCCAAACAATAAAGGGAAATTCACTAGCATCAAATTCATGGTAAATGTAGAATGAAACTAAGATAGGAAACCGGCCTTTGTGAATGGCATGAAATCCTTGAGTTCAAAAACAGGAGTTTGCAAACTCAATCTCCCCAACTTCAAAACATTGAAAATAAAGAAAACTAGTAGATGGTTTTATTTTCTGTGGAAGAAAGAATCCAACGAGTAGTAGGAGACACTTGTGTTGGTAATTTTGACTAGAGTAAAGAAACAAATGAAGGGATGGGGTAAAAAAAGTATGCCAATTTCAAATAATTGTAGAGATCAAAGTGGAGAATCAGTTGCTGCTCCGCCGCGAGATGGAGGTGGAAGGCGAAGTTACAGCTCTAGAGATGTTTTTTTAGTATTAATCTCTCGGTATCTGACAACTATATTGAGTCTCGACTAATTCGGAATCGAATCACATTGGACCCCATTAGAGGGAAGCTCTCCCAACATCTATTTTTTTATTTACAAAACTCGAATTCAAAATCTTACTTAAGAGAAATTAAACTCCTTTCATTCAAACCAACAATTCATTGGTGTTACGGGTTTAGAAATGTAGGGGTTATGAAACGCGAGTTTGGATTTGGATTTTGGGTTGGAGAGGGGGAGGAAGCCTTTGTGGGCCGGACTGCTAACTAAAATTTCTAAGAGCGGAGTCCAGGCCCAGTAACTCTAATGTCGGTATGCAGTAAAAAGACCATTTTGCGCCTACTTTCTTTTTCTTTTGCATCATTAAAGGCAAAAATGGTTTTCTCAAATCCATACCGACAATAATAACTAATTGGTCTATTAGACTATTACTAAAACATTTTCGGACTTAAGTGCCCATTTGGTGTAATTGCCGCCCATTTGGTGTAATTGAAATTTTTAATAGAAGTTTTGTTGAAAAAAAATTGTTGTAAAAATATTATTTTTGTAAATAAAAAAACATAAAGATAAAATAAGAATAATGTGTTAATTTTATTAAAATCCAAATGAGAAACTTCTATAGAAGTACCAATTCAATGCTTATGAGATTTGCAATAAAATTGATAAAAGACTAACTTGTGAGAAGTTGTAGCAATTTTCATAACTTATAGCAATTTTCACAAATTATAGTGTTTCATGCAACTATAACTTTTAAAGTTTAGAAGGACTTTTCACCAGTTGTACCAAACATGCACTTAGTCGGTCTTTAAATTGCTTTATATTTTTGAAGGAAGTTAAAAAAAATTTAATAAATATTTAAGATATTTCACTTAAAATGAATATAATTCTCATATTTCATCTAAAATGAATAGAATTCTCTTCTTCTTCTTTTTTTCCCACATCCACATATTTTCATTTGTTCAAAATAAAATTACTAAAATGTTTCAATTGTGGATTGATATGTTCACAAACAAACCCCTCAAAAATGATTTATAAGAGTGGGTGTAGTTTTATGGCAAGGAAAATATTTTTCACTTTCTTTAACATGGTAGGCATAAAGTAATGAAATTCATGAGGATATCTTACCCTTTTTATGCACTCGATGCATTGGAAACGAATAAAAACATCAACAACAACTAAAAGGTGTTAAAAGCAATGAGTTGTTGGGGTGTTTTCTTGCTCACCAAACACCACCCATTCTTCACTATTTCCATCTCATGCTTTGTCTTTACCTTTCTTTCTTTCTACTGTTACCTTTAAATCCCATCCATTGATTACCAAGCCAAGAAAATGAACCTCCTAAAAGGGTCCCTAGTCCCAACTCAACAGTAGTTGAGTTTTGGAAGATGTATTTTTAGGACCATAGCCCTTGACTCATAGCCCACCTACCATATATATATTATGGTCCAAGGAAGGAGAGAATCCTTGTTTCCTTTTATATTCAATTGATTTTGAAGAATCTCACCTATCAAGTTTCCTCCAAAAAAGCTGTGAAATTTATAAGGATTTTCAGTTGGGAATGGTAATTAAGGAGTTGATTGATATTGAATTGTGTAAGCATTTATTTGATTATTAATTTGACTAATCTAGGGTGGATATCTGTCCATAATCTCCCATATCAGATTTGAAGATGATAGATTTTAGCACTAAAGCAATGAAAAATGCATCATTTATGCCTTAATCATGACAAAATCTCACGCCTAAAGCCATTTAACCTATAAGCCCATTGCAATGCACGCCAAGTAAGAATCAAGATTCAAGAGACTCTTTAACCTTTCTTCTTTTCTTTTCTTTTTTTTTGTTTTTGTTTTTTTTTTTTTAACTTTTCTTTTTATAAAAAGATTTTGAGTTAGTTTTAGACATAACAAAAGTTAATTCAACTAGCTAACATGTTTAATTTATGGCCGGAATTGGTGGGATTGTGACTTGCATAATTGTGAAATGGTTGAGCACTTATGCTGAATTATTTTATCCATCTCGTGAACTTCTTTTCATTCAATTCGTGTGATTTATGACCCATAATAATTCAACTTAGCTCATAATTAGGACTTTTACAAAAATGTTATGAAATAAGTATAAAACTCTAGAAATTAGAATGGAAAAATAATTAGTCCAAAAGTAAAAATTCACATATATGTATATATTTTATATATCATATTTATATAAAATTTTAATTATTATTTTTATTTTTAATCTTAACTATATTTATTAAAGATAGTTATTTTTTATTTAAAAAATTATAATATATCTTAATTATTAAAAATAAAAAA